AAGAAGTATGCCCATCTGACATGAAAGAAAATTATTTTTATGTGCCATCACATTTGGAATTGCTTTGCCTGTGTGTTTTGCAGCAATACAATATAAAGAGTTTGTTTCTAAATGGTACTACGTAAAATACAGAGTAGTGACAAATACTTAATAGCTATAACTGACTCAATATCAATCTAAAGTCATTTCCTGGTTTCAACTGCCTCAACACAATGCAGAACTTAATCCTTTGTCTTTATAGGGGTTACATGTATATTTGATAAACTTAGAAATTCAGAACACCATTTGATAATTTTTTTGTTGAGTCACTAGGAGTTATAGAGGTCTTACAGGCAAATCAAGACACTTCTATTTACGCTCATATAGGAAATTTAAGTAGCAGTATGATTGAATCTTCTTTGATGCTGAGTCTGGTAAAGTGCTTCATACTAATCATCTAAAATTTTTCTTGCTTTTGAAAATCATAACACCTGAATTTAAATAATTATAATTTTTGATGTAATGGATTCAAAATGTAGTAGTGTTTACTTAGCTTTGCAATAGTTTCAGTTTATTTTTTGGTCAGTAGAAAATTTTTAAACATTTACCCAACATAATGCTAGACCAGTAAAATGGCCTGAAAGAAGGAAATGAACTCACTAGCCACGATTTCATGTGTAGAATAGAGACTAATTGAAAATCTGTGTTGTATTATAAAATAATTTCAATTGTGTATTTGTTTCTTATTTGCTTGTACTTAGTTTGAACAAAATGACTATGGTCAGTATTAAGGTAATGCCAAAATACTCTTGGCAGATCAACTTCAACCCTGACTTATCCCTCCATGTAGCTATTCCATGTTCTTCCGTTTGGCAGATGAATGGCCAGCAGATAGAGTCAGTCCTGCTGACAGGGTCAACTGTTATGCTGGACTAAAAGTACACAGGATTCTTGTTTTGGTTTTAGCAGTGTAGGGGTCATGCATCTGTACAAAATGCCAGAAACATTATTTTAAATAATGTGTCTTTTTCAGGAGGAAGACAACCTTTCCTCTTCTCCCTAGTGGGTAGAAGTGGCAGAAGTCATTTTACATCCAGGCTGCCCGACAGTTACTGTGAAGATCAGAGTACATAGCTAGAGGCTAAATTAGAGGCGCACTTACATCAGTGTGGCTGGACAACTGAGGTTTTGTTAGAAAGTTCATATGGAGTTTCACCTTTTTTTCCTTCATTTAAGAATTCTGAAATCAGATACAAGTAAGATGAGTCCAATTTTACAAGAGTCAGTCAATGGAGCTTTTCTGATATCAAATCTAGACAGATTTTTCAAGATGCTATAGAATAATAAGAAAAAGAAATAAGTCCAGCTTTTTTGTTGGGCACGTTTCAATTAACCCAATGCTGTTTGAACCACAGCTACTTTCTTTATGCCAAACTGGAAAACACTCTCTTATTATATAGTCTAGTGCCTGAAAAATATTTAAAGGAATATTCTCAGTTCTGTGCTGTCAACACCCGCCATGTGAGTTTGTTTATAGACAGCAACAGTTTTGGCAAGTTTATGCAGTGAATGCAATTTATACATCTACATCCACGGTTGAAGTTATTAGACAAACAGTGCAGTTCCCAGCTTGAATAATGGGGTTTTATAATGCCTTCAAAAACTGACCTTTCAACTTTCAATTCTATGAACTTAGTGAATATATCTGGTATAGTTCCTGCTTCAAGAGGTGATACGTGGCTTATATAGAGAGGGTATGACTCTTGGGAGAATGTAAATATAATGGCTCCTGTATTTCTTGCCAGTGCTATAGAATTGGCCATTAGATACCCTCTCAAGGACTGCAAGTTGATAATAGCTGAAGCATGAGAGAACTGGAGATCATAGTGTACAAGAGTGTTCTTCTCCATTGACTCCCCCCATCTTGGGAGACAATGAGTAATTCTGCTGTGTTGCCTACCTTTTAGAAAGATTATATCCCAATGTTAAATGTATTAAGCTAAGTGAGTATTACCTTATTACAAGTAGTTATTTGAAAGGTTTTGAAAGAATATGTTGTAGTTTTTCTTCATAATCTTATTACTGAGAAAAGAGACTTGTGGTATCAGAAATCCCATGAGAGTAGAAACTCAGCTGGAAAAATTCCAAATAAAAGTAAAACAAATGCCAGACTTCAAATGTTGGCCTTCAAAACAAGATGGAAAAAAACAAATAAAGGAAAAAAGTCTTAATGGAAATAAAACCCAAAGTGTTGTAATGCTTTTACGATGGAAAGCTGACCAAATTAGTGGAGAAGCTCCTGGGACAGAGTCATGTTGTCTAACTTTAGACATCTGTCATCTGCATCTGCACTAGTCTCTCTAGGTTCCATTCATATTTAATGAAGAATAAGTAGATGTTTTTGCTTCACTGTCCTTCTAAATTTATTTAGATGGCTGTCTTAGAATGACATGCTGCTTCTATTCATTGGTTATTAGGTGAATCTTGATACCTAGCTCAGATGGCCTCATGCTTGCAAAAAATCGGTAGCTAGTAGTGCATCTGTTTCTTTACTGTACTGTCCTGCACTTTATTCTAACTTGTTCTGAGGAAGTAAGCAGAGGCTGTGCTTTCCTGAGCATGGAAAACATTTATAGGGAGGCAAAATGGCTTACCCTAAAATCAACATTATAGAGATCTCAAAAAAAAAAAAATTCCACAAAAAAATTGAAAAAATAGTTGAATTACATAAACCAGATAAATTTCAGTATTTTTACTCAGTGTAATGGATTCCAAGAAAAGGGGAAGTAAAACACATATTGAATTCAAATTGTTCTTGACATGAAGCAATGCAGAACATATAATCAGAATCAAGGCTTTCCCATGGGATCGTTAGTCTGACTGCAATTTCCCAGTAATGACTTCTGGTCCAGAATCGTTCCTAGGAAAATCTGAACGCATGCCATCTAAAGACTATAATGAGCGTGGATTGTTAGAGTCTGTAAATCAGTTGATTCTGTGTTCTTAATTTATGAAAGTATAATGGGTACTGTGTCTAGGGCAGGAGTAAGGGAAGGAAAAGAATGTAGGAGCAGTGCAAGTCATTCTGAAATGAAGATGGGCAAAAATATGGAAGAAGTCAGCAAAGGCAAAGCAGACTAAACATAGATATAAATTTGATATACTTGGCACCAAACAATTTACATATTTCCTAAACAAAAACTTCCAAGGCAAGACGACCTAGACCTGGTATGGGTGGGCTTTTTGAAACATTATTAACGTTATAAAAATACAATACATAGGTGAGGGGATAATATGATAAAAGTGGTGATTGCTTTATAAGCAGTGAACTTGTTGAATTGAAAATAATTGCATCGGAAGTGGTGATCAGAATACATGAAATTTGTTCTTACTCATTTAGAGTAGAAGATGAATGTGAAACCTTTCACCCTCTGCATCAGGTTTTCTTATCTGGTAGGCATGGACTTGGCTGTGTGTGTTCAGAACGTCAGAGCAGCTGCTGGAACACATTTCTTGGGTCTCTCAATCATGTCTGTGCCAACACGGTCAACCACATCAAATTCTTTCCAGTCATTTGCATTCACATACTTAGCACATAATTTAAAACCTGGAAGGCTGAAATTTAACTTGCAAATCAAAATTTCTGAAGTGGGATATTTACTTGAGATGTAGGTGAAACAATGGAGATTCATTGTCATTGCAACTTTTGCAAATTTACACAATGGATGTTGAGTTTTTGATTTAGAGACCACTCAGGCTTCTATTTGTACACTCAGTGGAAACGTATTTTAGTGGGGTCTGCAAATGCCAACAAGTTGATAATAAATGGAACATATTGTTGAGTTGCTCTGCACCATTTCTAAGCTTTACACTACATTTGCGACTCAAGATTGTGTAAAGATTCTTCATTTAGCGTTTCATTTAGTCTTTTCTATATCTGTGCAATATTTGCCAAGTGAATGTCCAACTAATTTCATCATGAATTGGAATTGCTAAAGTTACCTCTTCACTTGGCCTTTTATATGCTATAAAAATAAATATATTAAGTGATTTGCTTTTCCTTTTGCTATCTTAGTTTATTTAAAAGTATTGCTTCCTTGCTACTTTTTACAAACATTGTTTGAGAAGGTGAATGATATAGCCATGTGCACTAAATATTGAAATTCTGTCTTATACATAGCAAATTCTACACTGCTATTAAAACCTTTAATTTCATAACGTAGTAAAAACCTTTACAAGCTTAATATTTTATCTAATTTCAGTGGAAAACAGGGTCCGTCTAATAACTGTTGTAGGCATAAATGGAGAAGCAGCTTTATTCTGAGAGTATTTAGCATTATTTTTCTTGATGTTGTAATTCAAAATAGGGTTTAATGTAGTATGTTGCTGGTAAATTTACAGATAACTGCAGTTAATCAGCAAACTGTGCACTTCAGTCTGTTTTTCCTCTGTTGAAAACTTTCTTTTCCAAGTTTTAGCAAATAACTTTACTGAAGAGAGAAAGGGTTGTTTGGGTCACAATTTAATTAAGTATTTGAACATTTAGATTGGGAAATTATTGGGACTTAAACATGTCTTTAAAATTAAACTCATGTATAAATGCATAACGAAGTACACTGGAGCAGAAGGACTGAGAGAGATTCTCTCTTTCAGGGATAATCCATTCTTTCGAGCTGTGGCTTATTCTTCCAGTTTGATTGTGTTTATGGAAGTTGATGAATCTGATACTTTCTTTGACCTCATTGACATGGAATAATCAGCTGAAATTATACTAGCTAAGTCTTGTCTAAGTTTTGAGTTCCTGAGGCTGAATTTTCTGCTGAGGTCAATTGGCTTGAGATTTTCCATTACAAAAATACGTTGGAATAAAGACAAAACATTCTCATCACGTACTGTAGAGCAAAGAGTGAAAATAATGCTGTTTATTTAGCCTTCAGCGCTATTTAATGGAAAATTATATTATTTCACAGTCAATTTTACATATCAGTAAGTGGTTTCTGCATATATATTTTTCTGTGCAGGTCAACTTCTACGTAAGGGTGAAGGCAATTTATACTCTTGGGCACAGTGTATCCCTGATTGCTCTTACAACAGGAAGTATAATTCTTTGCCTTTTCAGGTATGTATTTTCCATAACTAAATATGTACAATGATAACATGGTTTTCACTGTTACGTGGTTGCTCAGATATTTAGAACACACATCAGTTTTACACTTTTCCCAATCAAGCAGCTGAGAATAATGTAATGCTAACTTAATTTTTGCTATCAAAAGTCATATTAAAAAAATTCAAAGTGCTTTACAAATTTACAGACATTACAGCCCATAAGAGAAAGAATAAACATTTAGGAATGCATTATGTGGAGCATTTTCTATTTGATTATTAAAATCAGCATCTTGAATTGCTCTTGAAAATTAGTACGATACTGGTCTCAGCACTGGACAAGTGGGCAGCCATATTTTGCAGAAGCTTCTGAGTGGTCTTCAGGGGTACTATAATCAAAGCTAACCATTAATTTGTTCAAATGGGGTTGTAAAGGTATGGGTAGTTGTGCTGAAGAATAGTACTGGGTGTGCAATGTTTTTGTTAGGCAATTGGAAAGGCAGTACTCTCTGTTGATTTTGCCTAATTTCTGGGAGTTTTCTGAGACTGAAAGCGATCTCCAACTGGTAAAAGAAATTGCAAAATGGTATTATCAGTGTCATAGCTTTTCTCAGTTTCTCCACCTTCATGCCTTTATGTATCACTTCTACCTGTCTAATAGAATAGCCTTTATATTCTCCATTACAAGCTTCACACAACTTTTCTATTCCACTCTGCACCAAGTAAAACAAGAAAATGCATATGTCAGATTGGTAGAAAAGAAGTACATATAATATGTAGAGGACAGCATGTTATTTGTCAGACCCTCATTCCTCTGATGAACTATTCTTATGGTGAGTTCTGTAAGCCTTTCAGTCTGCCATCTATTTTCTCAATATTTAAATATTCAAAGGCTATTCAGAGCAGATACATAACCCATAATTATATTTTGGAATATCTTTGAAAAAATTGAAATGAGTCAGTCATGGTTATCTTCTTTCTGCCAGCAAATCCTACAGGCAGATTGTGCATTTTCAAAACTGCTAAAACTTGATAACACATTTAAGACAGTGTGTTATAGACATCTGGATGTTGTCCATCACCAGAAGTCAGTTATAACAAACAGATAAAGAATTTCAGAGGTATACTCAAAACCTTCAACTTCAGTTTAAATATCAAAGTTGAGAAATCCCCAGTCTCTCTGTTGAGTCAGTGGAAAGACCCAGGCTTTTTTTCAGGGGGGAACATAGGGTCTTCTAAGTCTCCCCCTAAATAAGCCTGTTTCTTTGTTATCTACAGGGAGCGTAGGGGCCTCTTAACATAGTGAGTTGAATAAGGAACCCAAATAAGTTGTAAAATTTCAGTATATAGTTCAGTATATAGTTTCCCAAGCATGTAGCAAGCAGACAGTTATTATGGAAGGCTGCAGCTGAAGTAATTGTAAATTATCAATAACAGAAGTAAATGCAAATAACTATGTGTGTATGTTTGTCTCTCGGACATGCAGGGCATGCCATACGTTATGGTCACTTTTAAGGAAAATAAGAATGTTTCTGTAAGGTTTAACTTTTTGCCACCTATCCAAGAAACATACTTTGCCCAGAGAGGTCCCAGGATTCTTTATAGAGAATGTCAATATACTGTTTATAAAGATCAGTCACTCACCCCTGAAACACATTCAGGGGCTGTGAATGTAACCAGCAAACTTTCGCCTTGCTGTGTTTAAAAAGGCAGACGAAGAAAAACTCTTCTAAGTGAAACTATCTAAAGGAGATTTGGTAGTTAAGTAGTGAGTTAAAAATCAGAAGTTACTAATGCAGTAGGGTTGTAAAAATCCCGGCTTCATCCAGCAGGATTAGGATTTAAACTCTGGATATTGGTAACACAACGGATTACTAAAATTGTGCATTGCTAGATTTGTATGTTTATGCCTCAAATTATCCTGCATTTAATCCTGAATATATGCAGTATTTTTAATGAAAAAAAAAAAACATGAAATAATGTGAAGTTTAATTTAGTTGTAGGTAATGCGTTCATGACAAGGAAATTCTTTTTTTAAGTATTATGACTTGATTTCTGTAGTCCATTATATGTTGTTATGTACTGTCTGGCAGAACAGCCTCAGGGCTTTGAGGTTGTTTACAGTATCAGCTATAAGCACATGAAAGGCAGAACTGTTGGGTGGGGAAAGGAGAGTTATTTCTGAAATTTTCCATACAGTTGTGATATTCTTTTTTACATTTCTTCCAAAGAACTAGACTTGATTTGAATCTTTACTGAAACCTTATATAGATTCTCATTACTAATATCTGTAAAAGAAACATTTAGAAGCGTTGTAAAAGGAAAGGATTTTATATCTGGCTAATCTTTTAATCTGAAAACAGAGACATAAAATATGAATATCTGTAAATACCTTACCAGACTGACAGCATTTTTCAAGTTACTATGTTGCCACTCCCCACATAATACTCTATGTACTTATTATAATTAAAGCTAATTGGTAACTTTCTGGCACAATATTTTCCTGTTGTAGGTTGCCAACTTGTCAGGAACATTCTTACTTCTGTAAACTTAATTTATAGATATCAAAGCTAATAATTTTGATTTAGTCAAAAGAAGTTGCTTTACCCTTCTTAGAATGCAAGTTTCTATTTCTTCATTTTGAATGTCTAAGTTTTAATATATCATGAAGTTTTATAAAAGTAGAAATCAAAATGATTGAAAATAAATAGCATTTTTCAGATATTTAAAAAAAAAAAAAAGTTGGTTTGTTCCAACCCAGAGTGAAAACAAATTGTAGAGCAGCATATTTCTACATAACTGACATTCTAGATCTTGCTATAGATCTTACTATACTTCCTTCAAGGTTACTCCTGTATAACAAAACCTTCCCGAGAAATGTCACTTTCTCTGATACGTGTTTCCTACCAAGGAGAAAAATATGAGTCTCTGCAATTTCTGTAAGATGTGCTCTCATGTGCATCAACTGTCTGTAAATCTTCTTCACTTGGGAGTTTTGTATCATGAGGTAGTCATATCAAAGAAATAAACATGATAGATTTTGATTCAAAGAAATAAACATGATAGATTTTGAGTCATTGTTATAAGGAACAGTACTTCTTTGTTGTTCAGAATCATTGTACATATCCCTTTCTTGCCCACTACCTCCAAAATGTTGATTTTACATTTACTATTTCCGCTACTGAATGGGATGAAGAAGCAACAATCTAAATTAGTTACTCAAGAAAAATATTTTCCTTGCTTTTGCAGCTTGCAAGTATCTGAATTCCATAGGAACATACGATGCAGTCCAAAGTAATAGTGGTATTTCAGTTTTTCTCAGAAGATAGTTCAGCAAAGGACACGCACAGGCACAGAAGTCACTGGATTTTTGACACCTGCTTTAAGTTCAGCCTGGTGTTCTGTCCTTTGCCAAAGTGGGGGCTAGCAAGACCGATCTGTTATTTATTTCCCTATACTCACTGTAACTTTGTGTGCTTTAGTAGTTTCAGAATGGATTATTTAGTGTTCTTTGGTAAAAATCAAAACATGAAGACTGCCTGGAAGCTACCACTGCACACCACCATAACATCCTATTGCATCTTCATTCTTTCATTGCTCGTGCTTGCTAAAATGCCCCAGCTCCTGGCTTATTTGCAGGTGCAGTTCAAGGTGCTGGTTTTGATCAAAAAAAACCCCATAGCAAATTGGGTTCTGGTGCTTTGCTATAATAAATTTCTGTAAACTGTGAAGATCTTAACAGGAATGTCTTTTAAGTGAAAAGCCCTCAACTTATAACTTGCTTCCCCTGGACACTCATTCACTTACTTGGAATATTTAATTTGTCATTTGTTTGTCAGGCTTTCACATGGCTGCTGAACTAAAGAAGAAAAGTTTTACATCTCACTGGATAGAAAGGATAGCAATCTAATGCTTTGAATGCTTTTTTAAATTGCTCCTGCATACACTCACATCATAGGATGAAAAGCCATTGTATAGCAAAATGCAGGAGTTAAAAAATTAAATCAGAAAATAATGGATGAGAGCATGTCTGAAATATATCCAGGATAATCAAAGTCTTATTTGCAAGAAAAACATGGGGATGAGTGCACACACAGAAGGATGTAATAATCTATGTTTATTGTCAGTTTATGTTAAAGTGTGGGAGAAATACCATTGGGATCTTTTGGTCTTACTGAAAAGGAGTAAGAAATAATTTATTTGTATATTTTGGACAGCCTATAATCATGATAAGGATGATGATGATGGTAAAAGAAAACAGCAAGGCAGCACTGACAATATGACAGAGGAGGAAAGGGTAGGCTCTCACTCAAGGTTCATATTACTAAAACATGACTGGAGAGTAATAAAAGTCAGTTCAAGAGCTTTCTGTCTCAAAATCTAAAATGTTTGTTTTTAAATCTCTTCTTAGAAAACTTCATTGTACTCGGAACTACATCCATCTGAACCTGTTCCTCTCTTTCATTCTAAGAGCCATCTCTGTTTTAGTCAAGGATGATATTCTCTATTCCAGCTCCAACACAGCTCAGTGTCCAGAGGATCAAACCTCATGGGTAATAAACCTCATTCACTATTTGGTATAATACTGTTGCGTCACTAAATTTTCCTCCCTGATCCTCTTATGTATTTAGGAATACCAAGCTGTCAGTGTAGACAATTTTGTAGAGAACATAATGACTAGCAAAACAGTCTATTAGAAGTAACCAGAGAAAGAAGGTTGTAGCACAGGAAAGCAAAGTTAATGTTGTTTTGCGAGTTCATGAAGGGACAGCATGTCATCTTCCACAACAAATCAGCTATAGCTCAGAATAAATATGGCCCCTACATTAATCAGCTGGGAGAGTTTAAGACAAACAGGAGTGCCATTAGCTGGGAATGGTTAAAGGCAGCTTGACTGGAAATTTTCCAGCAGGTTTATCAGACGTCCAGGAATTGGACTGGTAACAATTGAAGGAGAGAAATGAATCGGGGAATTAAATATTTGCAGGAGTTGTCTTAGTTAACTCCTCTGTACTTCCTGGCTATGACAGAAGTGTTGTCATCTCCATTCTTGGCAGACTAATACATGTACTGCATTTTCATGCTAAAAAAGTCTCAAGTCCTGCTGTTAGAAGACTGACCACTATATGATATTCCCCATTCTCTGCCTCCATTGTTTCAGCAAAAGTACTGGAAAGGAACCCTTCAGATATTGCTGAATACAATTTCTGAATTTAATTTACTACAGTTTAAGCTTGTGAGAAAAAAATGTAAGGAAGATATTTTTATATTGACGAAACCATGTCGTCCCAAAGCATAAAGTTCTTAGCAGTGACTACCAAGCTGCGTGTATGGATTAATAATCTAGGATATTTCTAATGAAGACAAATAGGCTCTGAGTTAGTAGACCCAAAGCAGGCAAATTAGTTAGTATGAGGAGTGCTGGGGTAATCAAAAGTTCTTAGGTCCTTGAAGGATTAGTCAATGACTAGCAAAATACTACTTGATTTCTGCAATTTCTTTTATTCTTCAGTTATTTTTGGCTGCAAAGCCTCATACTTTCCTATTTGAATATGTCCAGTTTTGTGGACTGTTGAGTCATTTCTGTTGCATTATACGTGGGATGATCTGACACCAGCTTGGCAGGATGTTTTGTCTTGCATTGGCTGGATGCTGCCTTTCTTCTGTAACAGCATGCGGGGTTTGTCTTTTTTTGTCACAAGTGTGATGTTCCACAGTTCTGCTGCACGCACAGATGTCTAAAAGCACACAATTCAAAACGTGATGTAACTAGGTCCTGGGTCTGAATGACACAGAGCCATAGTTTTTGCTGACTCTTTACTGAAAGATACCTTCGCTGTTCAGCATCTGATCTGAAAATATACCTGATACAGTATCAGCTGCAGGAGGAAGGGAAAATGTTTTGATGTGGGGTTCTGGGATGTAAATGAAGAATATAATACAAGGGAGTATTGGAATTAAAAAGAGATTACAAAAATTTTAGACTTTTCTGCTAATCTTGTTGTAAGTGGTCTTAAGCATAAAAGCAAATTTCAGCTTGCATTTTGAAATGTTTAATATTCTCCATGTTAAACTTTCTGCCCCGTTACTGGTCTGCAATGAATATCCCTTCAGTGGATACAAAGTCCAGAGGGAAGATTAACCTTACCAAACAAGATGATTGAACTAAGCTGTTTCTCTGGGCTTCCATCTTTCTCCCTGCACAGTTTTATCTCATCTGCTTTAGAGTTTTTCTGGACATGCCTGTGTCTCTTCATTAGCTGTATGAGGGGCTAGTTGGCTAAGTAGGGGGCTAGCTTTCATCAGAAACCTTGCTTGTAAGGAGTTAAAATTAGGTAAAATCAATCCAACCTTTGGGCTCTTACTTGTCTATATAAGTATGTGCACAGGCGTAAGTATAGGCACGTGTGCTACTTGGGATGCACTGAGATGTGTGAGACACCACAAGGGACTGATGGATATAAAGAAGTATCTCTAGGAGGTCTATGGCCTTCTGGCTTTGTAGCTGGTGACTGGGGGTCTTAAAGGGCATCTCACTTCATAATAGATACCTATGTTTAGTCAGAGGAATCAATCGCCAAATGAGTAAGTTACCTACTTAGCTATTTGGTGTACTTGGAATTTTAGCAGAAACAGTGGCAGTATGACGGGTATTTAAAATGTAGACAGGAATAAAGCAGGCAGAAACTAGAAGTTTTATTTAGTTCATTTTGTTTAGTCTGTTACATTCACTGTCTCATCACATTTCTCAGCTCAGTATCAGCAGAAACATTTTATGTTCAGTTCTCACATCCCAGATTCCTTCTGGGAAGTACCAAAGTAGCAGCAGCCAGCACTGTGGAACATCAGCAGCACAGATATCTGAAAATTAATTCTGAAGAGCATCACGCAAACTATAAGTATATTGGGGTTTCATTTTATGATACATGCTCATGTGTTTTGTTAATTAAAAAACACTAAGCCATTTTCTAAAAGAGAAAGCAGTTTTTAAAAGTCCAGTCACCTTTATCTTCTAACTCTATTTAGAATATTCTTCATGTAAACTTAAGTTATATTTTTCACACAGTTTCCCATTTAGCCTTGAAAAATTAATAAAGTTGTTTCTTTGCTAATTTTCACTATGGTAGAAAGCCAGCTGGGATTTTAATATATTTATTAGCCTCCTAGTAGATGATTATTTATTCTAATAGCCACTCATTAACTATTGCAAATGCGTGCATTTATTGATAATCACCACCTTTTACAATCTTTATGCCATGAAGTTTCCAAAATTTGTGAACAAATTTGCTGAGAGCCATCTAAAGAATTCTTTTTTTATAAGTCATTTTCTTTTTATATAAAGAGTAACATTTACAATGTCTCAATTTGCTTGAATTAAGAAAAAAAATTTCTACTGGACCTGGGTCACTAGTATTACATGGATAGTTAAGGGCTGTAGGACATATCAATAACAGAATAATACAGCATCTTTCCTGCAACAGCTTTGATCCCTATTCTCATATTTCAGGTGGGCTGCAAGGCTATTTTGGTGTTTTTTCAGTATGGTGTTATGGCAAACTTTTACTGGCTCTTAGTTGAAGGACTTTACCTGCACATCCTCCTTGTGTTAATATTCTCCCCAAACAGACACTTCACGATTTACCTGCTAATTGGATGGGGTAAGAAATGAACAACTTCCAGTACTATTCTTTGTTCTGTATGTATGTGTTAGGTTCAGTACTTCATACCATGGTAATCACACCGTTTCTGTTGGATGACTCCTCAGGCTCACTAGTTCCTCAGTTCAGCTCCAGCGCAGGTTACAGCCGCTGTACCATGGGAGAGAACGGGCACAGAACTGCTGAAGCAGAACTGCTAGCTTGCTCCTTGGCATGGCTCTGACCTGTGCCAAGCTGCACAGTGCCCAGGGATTGTTCAGGATATAGGACTGCCACTGAAAAACAGATGATTCAAGCTGTCCTAATTTGGGAGGAAAAAGAAAGTTTAGCTGCACAGCCACAGGCTATGCTATTCTCTTTGCCTTTTTGAAAAGTCCAATTATATTGTCCCTCTGGCTTTAAATGCATGTATTCCTTTCATTTCCAGAAACTGCAATGATATTTATACAGAGCACTTTAAAGCTTCCAGTAATAGGTTGTCATAAAACACTTAGGTATTGCTGGGAAATGAGGATAAACCAGTGTGTGGGAATGGTTCCTTACGAAATGATTTACACTTTGGTTTTATAGTGTAGTCCTTGGAAGTGAATTGGAGATGTGTAACTTGTATCTATCTCTCTGTAGGTCACTGTGACAACTTGAAAGAAACCTAAGAAAGGCATGTTCTTTGTGTATTAGTCATTATGGCTGCATTTTTATAAGAAGTAAACCCACTTCCCTGCAGTCTTTGTAATATGTTCCTAAACATCACGTAGCTCATCAGATGGACTCTCCCTCCATTCACTAAACTGTTTGCTATGTGCTGTATATTAGGGGAATAATTGGTTACTAGCAGAACTTTCTTTCTCTTTTTGTGGACTGACATTTTTGTAATCATCCTCTAACCCTCTTTGGGATTTTTCAGGAATTCCTACCATATTCATTATTACATGGACAGTGACACGGATCATTTTAGAGGACACTGGGTAAGCATGTTGAGGAGAGAAAGCTTAAAACCTCCAGCTGTGCCAATACAATCCTTGCCTTGGATATGGTGGTGTTCACACAAAGGTGGTTTGCTGTTCTGAAGGGGAAGAGTACAGAACTAAAATTTCAGAGATGGCAATCAGAGACAGGCGTTCAGGAGCTTCAACATGCTCGTTGTTTGTTGTCTATGTGAAAAACTCTAAGGGCAGGTGAGAGCAGAGAGAGCTTATGAGTAATGTTACCTCTTGAGACCCATATAAAGAACTATGTGCTTTGGAAGTCAAAATAATACTTAAAATAGCAGTGGGGGTCCTTGCGTTCAGGGCTGCAATACATTCTAATTTGCTAACTAGAAACTCGAAAGATTGGAATCTAGCTAACATTGGATGTATCTAAATTACAATCCCAGAAGTGAAACAATGTGATGTAAACATATGTAAGATGGACGTAGTCATGTAAAACTACGACCAACTGGAGCTTGACCTGGCTCCTGGCATTGGAAGGGGAACTGAGATAAGAATTTTCTAGGAAGATCACACTTGCTGCTCCTGCTGGTCCCAAGGAATGGCAGAGCATTCCTAGCTAGTGGGACAAGCAGTTTTCACACTCTTTTTTTCAACCTGACTAATATTTTTCAATTGGTTCTGTAATTAAACTGAAAAATCATGTCCTACAAAATTTCAAAGTTTTATTTGCAAGAACCACTAATGTAAACTGAAGGCTAATTCCTTTTTCCTTTGTCATTAAGATCACAGTTAGAGGAATTCTGAAGGTTATTGCTCTTGTTTAAGATTAATCTTTCAGAGCACTTATTCTCAGAGTATTTGGACTAAAAGTGCCCACGGTGAAACTTAAATTTTCAGTTTTTCCGACAAAGTTTCTGGTCCAGTCTCATATTTTCCTAAACCAGTCCCAACCATCTGTAACCTAAATATCCCACAAGGAAATTATGTCATTTCATTTGTATCTGTCAGTTGCTTTAGATCTTCTTGCTACCCAGAGGCTGGTGTTAGGTCCTTATTGGAAAAGTGTCCTTACACAAAGTGAAACTAAGCTTGGTTTCCCTAAAGGTCAATGTCCTCCATGATTTCTGATGGTACAGTCTAGTGTGCCTGATTTCTTAGCTGATTTGAATATGCACATTAAAACCAGGGAAATAAAATTAAAAGCAGAAAAAGATTGAATGCCAAATTCTAGGCTAGAACAGGCATTATAGTAGTGTGCTTTGACTTGTATATAAGAAATACTTCTCATAGATCTTGCTTGCCAGATGATATTAATGTCTACATCATTTTCCTTCTTTTTTTTTTTTCATAGTTGCTGGGATACAAATGAGCATGGTGGTCCCTGGTGGGTTATACGCATACCAATTTTAATTTCTATTATAGTAAGTAAACTCTGAAGCATGAATTATAGATCAGTTCAGCATTGTGTAGTGCATATAGCCATTATTCTTCACTGCTACTTACAGATAGGCGAGAATTCTGTTTTAATGAAAAGAAATTGCGCTGTAGGAGAAACATTAAACAGATGCCAAGGTCATTAAAATTTGTTGCCTTCAAAATTTATTTGCCTCCTATTAAATGAGCAGTTGCTTTTATTTGTATGTTATTCTTTCTTTAACATCTCTCCTGTTGACGAGCCTGGGGGAAGCAAAAATCTAATTATACTTTTCAATGAATTGCAGATTTGATTTTGCTTGTAAGTAGCTCGCCCTGCAATTGAGAATCTGATATTATTGCAGCCGTAAAAAAATACGGCTGTGTATATCTTTCTTTAATTGGTAGCCTACTGAAACAGATATTGAACATGAAGTATTTGCAAAAGAATACCATTTGAGAATGTTTCATGGAGCTTTTCCTGGATGGAGCTCATTAGAATTACTGGAGAAGTATAATAAAATTCCTGTTCATTGTGATGGTTGTGTAATTAATTTGGGCATAATATACTATGGTTATATGTCCATTTCCAAAATCAGTCACAGTGCAAATTTATATATTTAAGATACACTTGCTTTATTTTTAACAATTCAGTCAGAAAAATTAGGGCATTATTAGATTACACAATGTTTCAAGAGAGTCCAGATTAGCCCAGAACTTCACTTGGGCTCACCTTTCAACCTGTGCCTGCTGAAAATCATTTTGAGACAACTTCCTATCATCTTCATCAGAGTGAATTCTACAGTGTTTAAAGAGAAAGCAGAGTAGGCGTAGGTGTGAAATGACGTAAGGTAAGGACTCACAGAAAAGACGTTTTATGATATGAAGAAATGGGCATGCAACAGAACGGCAGCATGAAGAGAATACACGTACCTCAAAGGAGCTGGAGAATGAGGGATGGTCAAGAGTGAAGAAAATATGTCGAAAGATAAAAGCAAAACAAACCACCTGGTGTTTACAGAGAGATGAAATTCTATTCTCCGGATGTTGAGTTTAAACAGTTATAGGGTAGACAGCTGAGACTTCATGTGCCAAAAAGCAGAAATCTCAGACCTAGAAACAGTTGTTGTCCAAGCACTCATTGGCAGACTTGGATTGCAGCTGGATCTTAGCAGAGGCTGGAAAATGAGTTTTAGGTTAAGAAAATGGAGTACTAATCAGTCAGCAAAAGTCCAGTATATCATAAAATGCGGACCAGAATCACAGTTTGAGGCAATGGAACAGTCATTGTCCTTATTTTTTTAATTATTCTATTACTGATTTGATACAAAGGGATTGTAAGACATAAGGAAATATTTTGCCGATGACCTTTTTTGACTTGCCGGGTACATATTTAGGATCTTCTGTCTCCTTCCAGATATGTTTTTTCCCTTAAACAGCATGTTTTAGGGATGAGAACAACTAAAGATGGCCACGTGATTCTGCGGTGCCCCCTGCGTGAAGCCACTTCTCCAATTAGATGATTCTTCAGCTGTTTGTTAAACTTCATTTTGCATTTGGGAAGTTAAGTTGTGAAGGAGAATTCAGAAATACAAGTAGTTATAAAAGCAGTGATAGTCTCTCTTTCCTTCCAGATCAGTAACGTGTCTTCTTGGAGCTTCAAACTACGACCAGCACATTCATAGTGGCAGCGAGGCTGCTGTTCAGACTTACTGCTGTGGAAAGTAGAGTGTGCATTCATAGAGCAAAAGGAGCTAATGAAGTGTCATGTAAAATTGATGACTGAATAATACTACATTCATGAGAAAATAATTTTCAGTACGCATATGATATGATAAGCTCAACATTTCCTCTCACCTTCTACAAAAATTAAAATTCAAAGACTGAAAGACCCTGAATTTCAGGAAAATAAAGGAGAGTGGAACACCTGAGCTGAGAGCTCTCATTGAGAGCTGTCTTATGTAAAGGCATGAAAGAAGCCCAGACTGTGGCTGATATTGAAAATCTTTAAGAGGAGGAAGAAGAGTGAAGAAAAGAAGAGTAGAATAGAGCCATGTGAGGATGATGCCATGAGTATACTTTTGAAAGAAGGAGGAAATCAAGCAAGGGTTTTAAGGAACAATGGTTTAACTGCATTAGATTTAACAGGAAGTTCGCTCAGTCTTTGTATTCATCCTCTTCCATTGATTTCTGTGTTAACTCCAAAATTTTTCATTGCTTAAAAAATTATATTTTCTATAAGTTATTATCCAAATCTAAATAGTACTGAGAGCAGTAGGGAGAGCAAGTTCTGAAGTCACTTTTCAAAGTAGGAATGGCTTCAGTTAATTCAGTGTGTCAGAAGCCTTCCCTGGCATCTACTACTGACAATTTTGGCTTGAGAAAAGTTATTTGGCAGGCTTCCATACTTCATGCTGTACGCATTTCAGAATTGTTTAATTGGGGGTGACTATTCCAAACTGTTAATTTGGTGTACCACTCGTATTCTTGATTAGTCAAATCAAATGCCTCCACAGCTGCCTTCTCCATACTTCCGCTTGCATAAACTGCTCTTATTTGGGAAGAAGTGGTGTTCAGTTGGAAACAGTACTTCTGTCACATCAAAGTAATCAAAAGTTTATCTAGTTATCTCACATTTCAGGTAGTGTAAGGGACTGAATAGCAGGAAAGAAGCAACATGAAGACAGTTTAAATGATACACGCTTAGGCAAAGTGTTTAGACTCAAAAATTTATTTTCATAAGTCAACCAGCAGAAAAGGGTATCAGCAGCATCTTGCCATTCCTCCACTGAAGAGGCATCATTTGTCATCACTCTCTTGCAGTTTCTCTGCCTTCACATTATTTTCTCATTTTTCTGTTCTTAGATATTCATTCAATAATATACATATTCTATTATATTTAAAGTCATCATGCGAAATTATTTTATGGGACTGAAAAGCTACAATACTAAAATTCCAGGGCACTGCTTGTTTCATGTTTTATTGAAATGTACTATTCTAAATCAGATAAATACTTTAAAGAGCTTTAAAAATTAATCAATTCAATAATGATCTAACAAATTAATTTTCTCCATAGTAGTAAGTCAATGGCAGTTGCCACCTTTTGATTTTAATATCCAGTTTCCGCTGGCTGAATTTACAAGCTCCAAAGTACCAAGAACTGTTACAAACTCCAAAGAATGTATGTTTTTCCTTAGTCCAAGATCGTGTTTACAGACAGATAGAGATGTGTTTGAATACAGACTTTAAAGTAATACATGAATGTCAGTCAAGAATGGGAGTCACCTGAGTGTCATTTTGCAGCTGATCTGGTGCCTCAGAAACCAAATGGATGACAGTTTATTCTGTTACAGTAGAAAGTAGGGATGCCTGTCAAGAACAAGCAGTTATTCTGACAATCCCTTTGCAAGTACAGAATAAAGATTTCTTCTCCTATTTTTTGACTAACAAATATACAATGAAATGGAAGCTCTCTTCTTGTCCAGTAGTGCTAGCTCCAGTGCATATCTCTTGGTCTGTACACTCTGCTGTGTTAAGTCTGTGGATACAACCAGAAAGAATATTTGCTTCTGCCTGTTACTTTTATAGGAGACTTGTGTCAAAGGAAACGTCAAATTCATCATCTGCTTGTAAAATGTGTGTTTACTTCAGTAAAGGCCTATATTTTCTAACATTTATTTTTTATTTTTCCTTATTCAAAACCACTAGATTTTGGTTTTCTTATTTTTTATTTAATCACTGACAGTTCTTGTCACTTCCCATAACCTGTCATTTCAAATAAAATATTGAATACGGAAGGGCATGTGGTTGCTACGATCATAGTTATTTATTAACATCACTGATTCTACTGGGTATTTCAGAGAAGACACTGAAATTCATTGAACTTGAAAAGCTTACAGCCAAATTGTTAAGACTGGAAAAAGAAGAGTTCCAGCTATACATCAAGGCAGAGAGAGACAGAAGGTTTATAGCAGTGAGGCAGGCACTCCCTGGTTGGGTACCCAACCTCCTGATTTGGGGCTTTGGATGACATTAGCTAAAAACAATCAAGTTCTCATTTTCACAGTCATAGAATTTTTTTTCGCTGGGTTGATTTCTTCTAAAATGTGTGCATTTGATGCAGCTGTTTATGTAACTGTAGATGAAGCTTTTAGCTCATATTGTTTTTGTGAAGGTGTGGATTCAGAGTGTTCTCTCACTTTAGTACAGGTGTGCCATAATTAAAGTGTAGTTTTCTTGACTGCACCAAACAATTCAGCATCATAACAGCTGGTGGACACAAGATGCCAAAAGCCAAGGATGAAAAACCAATGGGTGTGAGATTTAGGATTTACTGAGTTTTATACTTCAATTTTCTAGATTGATCAGTGTCTGAACATAACTTTTTTATGCAAGTGCCTCCATTTCTCTTCTATGAAATATAATACTACTGTTCTGTCTCAGAGGGCTGTTACAAGGATAAAATGTTAGACTGCAAGGATTCAGTTGCTTTGGCGATTATGTCTGCATTGCTATCCAAGACAGTTAGAGAGATACTTGTGAGAGGCCCTTTCTGTGCTTGATGTGCTGTGATCACCTATGCAACAATCTTTTCTTTCCCCAATTCAGGTAGAAAATATTAAAAATAAAGGTGTGAGGTAAAAGAGGGTCAAAACTGTTATGGGACTCACATTTTCCTTTGGGCTTCCAGTCATGAATCCACACGATAACTTAGGACAATGCTTGATTGCTCCAAATCACATCCAATGTCCCATACAGCTAGGAAACCTGTCTTCAGCTGAAATTTTGGAAGGGAGTCATTGCTGATAACTGGAGCTTTCAAAGACTTTTGCCAGCCATACTGGAACTGGTGGCCATGCAGAGATATACTGGACATAACAAACGTAGAGAGGCAGAGACCAGACAACAGATTTGACAGTGTAGAGTTTGATGTGTTCTGGCATGAGGTACACAACACCCACTGCTGGGTTGATTTGCCTGACTTGATAAGCATTTCGTTGTGCTGCATATTGAGTGGAGAGGTCAGAAATCACCATTATATTTGTTTTCTTTGCAGGTGAATTTTATACTTTTCATTAGTATTATAAGAATCTTACTGCAGAAGTTACGATCCCCAGATGTTGGAGGAAATGACCAGTCACAGTACAAGTGAGTCATATTTTTAGATATTATATACAGAACCAAAATAATCTCGGTAAGATTTCCTATGCTGGACCTGCTGCCAACATTTGCTGTGATACTATAGTTACATTTAATTCAGAAGCACTTTTATGTGTGGTTTAATGAAGATCTTATCACTAAGGTGAAATAGAAATTAATGTACTTTTTTTTGGTCAAACAGTAAATTCAATAAAAATATGTAATTTCATAAGGACCAACAAGATATTCTTGAATCTGAGTTTAACCCATGAATGAATATGCTGATACAAAAAGCATGGATAGCAGTATCTTTCTTTTAATGTATAAATATTTCATTCCAACATAACAAAATTAACAAGATCAAAACACTTAGCTTCAACCTCCTTAGGTTTTTTTTAAATTTTTCATTTCTAAGACATTTTTTGTTGTAATATTTACATATATTTTAAGAGCTGGAAAGAAGTTATGTTGTTCCCAAAAAGTAAAAAGTTAAATACAACATTTTATATTCATTTAAAATAGCATCTTTATTTTTCTAGGGGAAAACAAGTATTTCAGATTTAGATCAACTTCAGTTCTCTTTAGACTTTCTTTTTTAGGGGGTTTGGTTTGAATCAAGGAATGTTGGGGGGCAGTTTAAATACATTGCTAAAACTGGATCTGTTCTTTATTATATTGCAAATCAGTTACTGTTGTTTATTATGATAGCTCCTGGATACTGTAATCCAGAATTAAGAATCTGTTGTAGTAGGTCTTATTTTAAAGCCCAGATATATCGATACTTCAGGATGTAAATATGACATTTCAATGACAAAAACCTAACGTGAACACTGAAAATGTAAAACATGCAAGTGGCCTTTGAAAATGTTCTCCTGGATAACACCTTTTCTTCATTTAGAAAATATCGAATTCCTGTCCTAAAAGCAGATAAAACCTGGTGTGCTAAAGTAAAGCGTATCTTTAAAGCCAAGAGAACTAGGACCTTATTGTTTTGTAAACAACATGGCACATTTGATGCAAAAAGTGAAGAATTCTGATGTGTCATGGAAAAAGTGACACAACTAGATGCCATAGAATGTAAAGGATAATTTTTTGTGTTTGCTGCTTGAATTAACTAAACGTGGGAGAACCAAATCAACCTAGGTGAGATTCTGCAGTCACCACAGTATTATTTAGCACAATGACTGACCTATGGGCAGAAAATCCCCTCAAGTTTATTTCTTGTGACAGGAACTTTTCTTTGTTTCCATGTATTTTATGAAAAAGAGGCATTCCCTTCCTATCAGACCCATGATTTTCCACAGTTTACTGTAGCACTTCATAGTGTAAACTGTTTGTAATAACAACCTTGTCCCTCATTATTCAGCCCTGTGAATTCTTTGCTTTCATCATTTGATTGCCCGACTAAGTTTGGACTGGATGGTCTTTAGCCGATACCCATGGGAACAGTAGATTAACCTCCTCAAGAAATACTGCATCTACAGAGCAAATTAAAGGTCTGGAAGCCTGGTTTTTCAATATGCAAATGTATTTCTAAACTACAGGGAAGAATAAGGCTATTTTGTCTGTCCCTTTTGTCCACTAAAATCTAAGTGCAGTATGGAGAAAGACAAAAATCATTAAAACATAAATGGAGTGAAAGTGAAATATGGATCAAAAATGAATACTACTCATGCAAGTCACCATTTTTCTTCCCTTCCTCTGTCCCACTTGCTTGTACCTGGTTCCATCTTTTTTGCTGCTCATTTTGCTTTTGCAGTGGGTAAGGTTAAGTTGAAATAAAATCAGTTTTCCATTTCCCTTGGGAACCCAGGAAATTTGCTACCATCATTGTCTCCTCCAGTTGTAAATGAATATCTCCTGCCAAGGAAATCCTATTTGTCCCGCTTACTGGTATCACCTTTAGATGTGAATGTTTTACTATTCTTGAGAAACTTTGCTGTCAGAACTGATTATTTCCACATAAACAGATGCAGCCTCTGGGACATTATGAACAAAGGAAGGCTTTGAAGACTGACACAGAAAAAATAAAGCTGCTTGAAATACCTTGACTTTTCTGTTAAAATAGGTGAATTCACAACAGCATCCTTTCACTGTTGAATCAGGTTATATTCATCAAGACAGTAATGAATTATGGGACTCAACATTAGAACTTGAATTTTATCTGATACCAGACCTCCATTATCATGCATGACTGATTCTGTGTAATATATAAAACTGATGTTATTAGAATGATATAAGTGAAAGATAAGGCATAATTAGCAATTCATCATTTCAGTGGTTTCACAGGCAGTTTGTCAGAGCTTCTCTGCTTAATAATTTAAAGTTCTTCCTTAACTTTGGTAGTGTGTTGTGCTAAAATTTATTATGTAATTGACAACACTAAAAATTAGTTAATGGTATATACTTAATACCATCAGTATAGTTATGTGATTTTAGTATTTGAGGATAAATCTGAAATTCTTATGGAAACCTCACAGGATTATTCTGGATTACATTTCCTACGTACTGTTTGCGTACTGTGTATGTGCAATGTAAAACCTACAGTTGCACATTTAAAGGAAATTAACATCAATTAATTTCAAGAGAGAGATTTTACCTTCCATACAGAGGATCTGTCAGGATGACTTTGCAGTAAGGCATTATTCCTTTCTACTCTGAACCCTTTGTGCCAGGTAAAAAAGTATCTTGAGAGATCTGATGGCAGCTCGTGATACGTTGCTGAATGTGGTCTGGTGGAATAATGCGGTAAAACCCCACCCCAAAAAATCTGTGCCATGAAACCAAGCTGGGAACTGCATTTGTGTCAAAGACACGCAGCAGAAGGTAGGTCCTACATCCTGCTGCTGTCCAGAGGGCAACTGAAAAAGGTTCTTTTAGTTTAGAGAGACCCTGAAGCCTTTTGCCTGTGTTTGGGAGAGTTCAAGATCACCAAGATCAAGTATAACATAGAATTGCACATGTTAATTTATGAGGTTGCTGTGTGGCTAATCTCATAGCAAGCCTGAAAGGGAAACAATGTGCAATAAATGACTCTTATTGAGACTGTTTATAAATCCGAAGTCTTACAAGGTTTTTGTAAACAACATCACATCAGGTTCTTATCTTAGTAAAACGAGAGCTTATCATTAAACTCCAGCTTTTTCTCTTTTATGTATCCAGGAGACTTGCAAAATCCACGTTGTTGCTTATTCCGTTATTTGGAGTTCACTACACAGTGTTTGCTCTATTTCCTGACCGCAGTTCCAATACTTATAAAATAATCTTTGAGCTGTGTTTGGGATCTTTTCAGGTAAATTTTAAAATTTTTATTCAAAAGAAGTTTTATTGACCTAGGTTGGTACTGTCTACTAACTAAGAAATATTGTCTCCTTCCAGGGGCTGATTGTTGCAGTCCTGTATTGTTTTTTGAACAGTGAAGTAAGTCTCACCTTTCCTACTGAGGGTGGTAAATATTGTTCTCAGTAAATGTATAAGTGTCCCTGTAATTCCACTCTGATACATGAAGCTGTTTTAGAAGATGTTTGCATTCCTATTTATAGAATATATATGTGGGAGTTTCTACGTAACAGGAGAAATTAGTGTATTTGGGTGAAGAGTTAAGAGTTGTCTGAAATCTAATTCCTTGCAACTGAGGTGTTAAACGTGTCTCCCATTATTTAACGTGATCTAATTCTAGCTCTGTTACAAGCCATGTGGGTTGTGCAAGTGAGGTGCAACAAGTCTAAAAATTTACCCAAAACTTGAAACACCATTTAGTAAGTATTTAGGGGAAATCTTCTGACAGAATCTAACCCCTAGAACAGCAGCAGATTTTCAGAAGTGCCCAGCATGTAGAGGCTTTCCTAATCTCAACTGAGGAAGGTGTGACGAATTCCTTTTGATGTCAGCCACTTTTAAAGGTAGAATATACATTAAACAGCATGTAGAGTCTGACAGGAGGAATCTGACAAAGACACCTGCTTGCACAGGGAGTTGACATTCAGGTCTCCCGAGTGCTATTCTCGTCTTTGATATTCATGAGATTCCTGGTTTTGGGCTAATCATTTGATTCTATGCTTTAAGTATGTGTGATTAATAGCTAGATACCAAAAGCTGATGTTGAAGCATAAGTGATACAAAACTGATTTTGAAAGTGGCTTCGGGGCATCTTCTCACAGACAGTGTACATACAGTCTTCACCTCAGTTTTGTAATCTTGGTAAAAGTTGATTTGATACTCTAGAGGGAAGGGATGCCATCCAGAAGGATCTTAACAGGCTTGTGTAGTGCGCCCATGTGAACCTCATGAAGTTCAACACAGCCAAGTGCAAGGTCCTGCATGGGGGTTGGGGCAGTCCCCAGTATCAGTACAAACTGGGAGATGAATGGAATGCAAATAATCGAGCAGAGATGGACTTGGGGACACTGGGGTATGAAAAATCAGACATAAGCCAGCAATGTGCGCTTGCAGCTGAGAAAGCCAATTATATCGAACTTCATCCGAAGAAGAAGCATGACCAGCAGGTCGAAGTGGTTGTCCTCAGTACAAGAATGACATGGACCTGTTAGTTTGAGTCCAAAGGAGGGCCACAAAAATTGTCAGAGAGCTGGAATATCTCTCCAGTGAAAAGAGGCTGAGAGAGTTGAGGTTGTTCAGCCTAAAGAAGAGAAGACTTTGGGTAGACCTTATTGTGGCCTTTCAGTATAAAAAGGGGCAATTATAAGGAAGATGGAGAAAGACTTGTTAGCAGTGCCTGTGGTGACAGGAAAAGAGGTAACAGTTTTAAAATGAAAAAGGGTAGAAGTAGATTGCATGTCAGGAAGAATTTTTCCTATAAGGGTGGTGAGGCAATGGAACAGGTTGCCCAGCAAAGTTGTGGATGCTCCATCACTGAAAGTGTTCAAAGCCTGGTTGGATGGGGCTTTGAGCAACTTGGTCCAGTGAGAGATGTCCCTGCCCATGACTAAGGGATTGGACCAGATGATTTTTAAACGTCCCTACCAAGCCAAACCATTCTGTGATTCTATTCCTAGAGGTTCCCATTTGACAGCCAATAAGTGTGGAAAAGTTCCTCACATAAAAGAACATTTTCAGCTCATCTTGTGCATTTTCTCTTTAACACAGGTGCAAGGGGAGCTGAAAAGAAAATGGCGGAGTTTGTGCTGGAAGCAGACGGCGGGCAGAGATTACAGACTCCACAGCTCTTCCATTTCCCGAAATGGGTCAGAAAGCGTTTCTCAGCTCCACCGGAATTCAAGGGCTCAGTCATTTATGCAGACAGAGACCACCATGATATAAGTCAGATACGTCCCCCAAAACATGAAAAACTGTGGGATATATGTCATTCATTTTACAGCTTGATGTGATAATTTTATAAAATGTACAGTTTAGTGCTTTGCTTTTCTACATGTTGGTATTTGGGAAATTGGTTTGTGCAGACAACCAGTTCATAAGACACCTGCCCCATGGATGCTTTCTGGTTTTTTTAAATGGTATTCCTATTAATTCTGGTATTCTCCTGCAGTTTACTAGCTGTAACTATTCAAAAACTCATATACTATACTGGTCCTTTTACCCTCCAACATGTCTAAAAGATAGATGTATGGTGTCCTGTTTTGGTACATGCTGAAACTGTTAAGATGGGAAACAAGAAAATTCCTTACACTTTATTTATACTTAAGGAAACATTTATTTCCTTAAGGATTAGGAAATTCTTTCCTAATTATGGAAAACAAAATAAAAATAAAGAAATGTAAGACTATAATTAACCACACTGGGATTTTAGTGTGCTAATCCAGGAAATCATTAACATTATACAGAGGGAAAAAAGGTAGTACTTCTCAGCTAATTGTATACATTTCAGAGATTTCTCTCTACAGAGTTCAATTTTAATCCTGCTTTTCCTTTCAAAAGTGCCTGGGTTTATGTTTAGGTGCAGAAAGTGGGGCTACCTTTGCAGTCCATACAGAAAAGGTTACTGTAATAGTTTTGATGAAAGCATTATAATTTTGCAATAACGTTATTGCAATCACCGGTTGTTTTTTTCTCTTTAAAATCAAAAAGATTTGTGTTGAACTTTCATTAAACATCTTTCTGAAGAGGTGCTTTATTGCTAGAGCTATCCGACATAGGATAAACAGCCTTGGATAGCATATTACCCATTGAAAATATCATTTTTATGTCATATTTTCATTGAAATATGTCTCTAGAACTATATCCTTGGCAGCTAAAACAATTAATATTGCAATAAAGTTACAACTCCCATTTAAGGAATAATGTAAATTCTTTTAGCCCAATTCTGTTCTGTATCTATCTATCTGAGCTGTTTCAAAATTTAGTCCTGACCATGACTCGAGCAAAAAAAATTAGACAGAATCCCTAAAAATTACCATAAAAGGCATAAATAAAAGGAATTCTAAACAACACCAAGCCTCTTATAGAGGCATTTGGTTAAAAAAAAGGCAGAGAACTGACAGATTCTTATAAACACACAGAGAACATTTGCACTCTTTAAAAGAAATAAACCGGGTGATGTTTACTGCTCATGTCACGCTTAACCATGTCCACTCTAATTACTTGCATGAGTACCTCTGAACCGTAAAAATAATTGCCCTGATCTTTCAGATCACAGATGTACGGAGCTAGGAGAATCCACGGTCCATCCTATTGCCAGGTAACGGGAAGAACGGCAGGAAGGGCATGTCTTGGCAGGCGTACATGTGCACTCTTGAAAATATTACCAGTACTGGGGGTATTGCTGGCAGCTGTCAATATGTCCATACACCTCTTGGTCTGATTTAATTTAGCTATTTATCAGTCAAACACAATTTATTTTAATGGAATTACCCTGGAGTGACACAAAGTTATGTCAGACCAAAGACAGAAAAGGCCCCGTGGTTCACAAGTCACACAAAACAAGTAACTGCGAATCATAGAATCATAGAATGGTTAGAGTTGGAAGGGACCTTAAAGCTCATCGAGTTCCAATGCCCCCTGGTATGGGCAGGGACACCTCCCACTAGAACAGGTTGCGTGACACCAACCTTTACATAGTAGGTATTAGTTGAATTAAACAATAATCACATGGCAGTTTTTTACTTTCCCAAATTTGGGTTTAAAGAAGCTATTGGTCACCTCCAGTTGTTCAGAGTGTTTTCTGCTGTCACGTGGTGAAGTAACGATGAGAATGTGGAGTGAAGCTGCCCAATGCCAGTCCCATGGGGTCTAAAGATACCTCCTACTTAAACTAAATATATTCGCTTTAGACTCAGAAACCACTGCTAAACATTAGTATTTTTCCTGGGTCTCTGAACAACCTTAACAAACTCTTAACTGCAAATATATGAAGATAGATCGGAGCTTTGTGGGCTGCTCCTACCTAAATTCAGTAGGTCTGTGCACTTTAGGCTTCTTTATGTGAAGTGACATTGGGACTGCTCAGCTCCCTAAGACATGATGTGCAGGAGGTACTTTTCCCTCAAAATTTCTAGGGTAGAAAGGCACACTTGATGAACATTCAGGAAAACTCATCTTTATGTTCAAAGAAGGTTTGTTGAGTGAGTTGGCACACAGACAGAGGGATGGTATAGAAATAGAGATTTCAAGCAATCAGTTCCACCAGTCTGTTCTGCATGATGCATCACCAATTATACGTGTTTATAATTCATTGTATCCTAGGGAAAACTATCTTTGTTCTAATTAGAGAGCATGGAGAAAATCTGCATTTTAATGAATCCTAGATTTTAAGACAGAAAACCTTAAATAAGAAAACACATTTTAAGATGCAATGAAACAGCATATTTTCCTTCAGCAGGGCACAGATGCATTTGGACTTGATTCTGCTTCTCATGTAGGGAGTAATGCCATCTGAGGCAATGAAGTTGCACCAGTGGGAGAACATAGATGGTATCACGAAGTTTGTAAAGGACTATGCGGGCATGCAAAGAATAGCACACAAGGGAGAGAGGTGCTGCATATATTTTTCTTTCAAACCAGTGAAAAGTGCAGTAATTTGCAGAACCTCACTTCTCTGTTAAAAATCATAGAATCTAAATACAGAAAATATATTTTCTGTGAGGCAGTTTAACTTCGTAATACTTTGTGCAAGCATTTTCATGTCACTACAGGCCCCTCTGAAAAGCCAGTAGCTCATCATGTAAAGTTACTGAAGAAGAATGGTAATACAATTCATTCTCATACTGCAGGTAATTGTTGTACTTTACTTTCCTTGGAGCTGCCAGGGCGGCACCATTCATTCTGAGCGATTTTTATCAGCATTACCTGCTGCCTGACGGACACAGCGACAGACTACTCTCCAATTGCTAACCATGATAAAAATCTAAATATATAGTGATCATTGATTTTAATTTTCCTCTTCAGAGTCGGTTTCAGCTAGATGGTCCGTAGACTCAAGTGAAATCCATCTGTCCTGGTTTCAGTATCTAAAAGCTGGATGTATGTCTCTGAGCTAAAGATTCTTTTTAAGTGCCTTCCAAAGTCATCAGAGAGAAATAGGCACTAGTTGAAGATGACTCATCCCATGTTCAGCTGGCCATCTAAGTTAGGTAAGCCAAGTCACCTTTTTCTCTATGCTTACAATAAAATGGCTGGCTAGTATTTAGATTTCTCACTCTACATCTAAAATTAGGTAAGATGAATCTCTCCAGAAGAATCCATTCAGTTATCTGGCTAATATTACCCAGATACTCCTTTTTTAAGACAAGTAACTTGGTTGGGCCAAAGTAATCCCCCCAAAAAAAGGTACAGGATGATTCAAAAAGTTCAGGCAATGGGAGGATCCCTCAGTTCACTTGGTAGGGTGCCCCTGTGGTCGACTGCCTTCCGTGATAGGCAATGTCCCATTTGATTTGCCTGGCTTCAGCTTTCAACAAATGTTTCTTGATTTGGGTTAGGTGTTTGGCTTTTTGTCTTTGGTAGAGGAGTCATACACTACAACAAAGTGCTTTAGACTACCAAAAGTTTTCTTTTTGTGAAATCTCTTGAAAATCACTCTAAATCATGTATTGATTTCCTCTCTGAGAAACTAAACATATCAAATATTTCAAATCCTGTCAGCGAGGCATTTTCTCAAATATTCCTCCTCATTCTCTTCTGTGCCCTGTTCCATTCATAACAGCTTCAGCCAAGAGAAGCAAAGGAATAACAGGGAAAGCAAAGACACCTCCTCCTTGAGGAGTGCACACAACACTGATCACATTTCTCACTCCAACTTGCAGCTCACTTGGCCATTCCTTTGAAATCTTTGACTTTACAAAGTCATTTTAACTGACCAGGCCCTGGCTGGTGACACGCAATGAGATTATTGCTGGCAGGTTTTTTGCCATACAAGCTAGTACCTTTTTAGAATATGTTGGCCTTTTAACAATATGGGTCAGGTGCATTAATGTGCTTTGCAAAATAACCTTAAGAATATGGAGAGCATCCTTTTAGCCATTGAAAGCAGTGCTGCCTTTTATGAAATTTTAAGAATTTGGCACGTATCTAAGTGCATGCTCCGTGCTGGAGTGCCCAAGAGCCCAGCAGATCGCAGCTGAGCAGCGTGGTGATGGGTGCTGCAGGTACCCAGCTGAGAAACTACCCAGTTTAAGCCTACATTGGAGCTGTACTGTAGTGGCAGGTAACTAATTAGTGGCACAAAACATTACAAAAAGCCACCTACAGTCAAGTTGGAGGCAGCCTGCCGCACTCTGTACCATCTATGTCATGTCCTGATGCATCCCAGACAGGTTTCCCTCTGCCTTTAACATGATGAAGGGGAAAGCCACAGGTAGAGACCCTCAGCAAACCAGAGAATCTGTCTGGGATGGCTTGATGAAATAAGGCATTACCAATTGCATGTGTCTCACACTCCATGTGTAAGGACTAGGATGAGTCTTTTGCATTATTTGTCTCCTATTTTTGTGAGTTTAAAAAAAAACATGTACTGTTGAATGTGAGTTTGTCCATTTCAGCAAAGTGTTTGTGAATAAAGTTCAAATTCATTTTATACAGAATTTTTTCCGACATCTCTAACGAGAAATCAAGCAGTAAGTATGTCTGATAAAAGGAGGAACCAGCAAGTAACCTGCAGAGAAAGCTGCTATTTGTGTAAGGGTTATTGTCCGAGCAATTGCTGTCTGTGCATAGGGATTCAGGAAATACTTTTACTAACAGAAGTACCTTCACATTACCATGAGTGCCTATAGAAGCTGTGGGCTGTCAGTACTACCCTGCCATAGCCAAATAGCAGAAGTTAGTATGCAGTGCTATTCTGTTGATGAGAAAAAAAATAATAACGTGTTCTAACATGTGTGTTATGAGAGTAAACCAGGATAACATTGAAAAGGAACATTCTGTGGTATGGTTTAACCTCACTGTGTTGAACTTGGTTCTGCCCTATAACAGTATGTAGTTAAATCTGTCTGTAACATTTCCATTGTCGACTAAACCAGTGGCTGAAATGCCCCAACCCCCTTTATTTCCCAAGGCACTGTAGTGAGTGTATGATAACCTGCAGCTTTTTTTTTTATCCTAGTGCATCAATATGAGTATTGTTTTGAAATTCTCTTTTTTCATCTTTATCAATAACTTTTTATCTGTCAAGTATGGTAAAAAATTAAAGATGATGTAAATGAATGTGATTATTTTTTACAAAATGTACAGACTATGATGTTGTATAGATTAATGTGTGTAAATAGATTTCCTTTTCATACTGTAATTCACTATATGTTTCTTCTAGTTTTGCTCTTTTGGTCTTTTTTGTTTTCAGTTTTTAATGTCACCTACCTAACAAACAGCCTTCTCTAAGATATGTTATATATAAAGCTGTGAACAAATAAGTGTTTACATCTTTATGCTATTAGAGATAATAGTGGTTAATAACACCATAATGGACTGAAGAGGAGTCAGAGAATAAAAATTCTAATGGTTTTGCACAGAACTTCTTTTATTTATCTGATTGATGAGATGCTCTCACAGACCATAGTTTCAGAACTGAAAATGGTCCTGCTCAGGGTTCCTCAGCAATGCAATTAAGATGGAATTGCGTTGCATGGAAAATGAAAGGCTGGGGCTGCTCCTGCCACGGGAACGGGCACAGGGGAAAGACCCACTGGGGCCAGACTGGTGGTGGAGCACTGCTGGTGGGGCCAGCGAGGGAGATGGGCACGTGGAGCAAGACGTGGCACCTTGTAGGGCAGTGTACTTCCCCTGGCAGCAGCACTCAGCAGAGACAAAGGTGGAGTGCCGTTTTGCTGTCCCTCACAGACCAGGGAATATTCCCTTCTGTGTCTGTAGTTATCACAAAGCTATGTCACCAGGAGTGGTCATTGTCCCTTGGCCACGCATCCCTTATGGAGAGGATGGGGAAGAGCCAATCCAGCTCCTAATTCCGGTTCTGTTTGCTTGTACCCGGGCAGAGGCTGGCCCTTAGGTGACAGAGTGACAGTCTAAAAGGAGATCTACATGCATCCCTAGAGCCTGTGTTCAGGAGAAGCAGCGGTTTCTGGAGCCTGTGTGCAGCCTCCCTGCAGCACCGCACTGCCCAGGGTCTGGGGGTGGCTGGAACAGAAGGGACCCTGTGGCAGCACAGAGGTCATTCCAGTCAGCAAAGGGGATTCCTTGGACTGCACGATGCCATGGAGTTAATACCAAGTTGCAAATAATCAGGCCCTATGTGTCCAACTGGATAAAATATAATGCTTTCTATTAATTAAGTTCTACTATTTATAATTGTGTTTTATCATCTTTCCCTAGCAACGTAGGCTGGGATATATTGTGAGCTAGCTGACATGCGGTTTAGGTTGAACTATTGTATCAAGCCATTTAATAAGTAAGGATATTGCTGTATCAAACCATTTAATAAGTAAGTATATGTTGTATCAAACTAGTTTTTGATTTTTTCCACAGGAAAAATAAATATTTTTCTAGTACTATCCTACAGAATATAGTCAGTGCCCTAGGACATTCAATTAAATATTAATATTGGATTTGGAAGAAAAAAAGAAATAAAATGAAGAGCTGTGCTTTATATTGAAGCTCTTCTATATTTCTGAGCTGGTGCCTTTGTAATTGAGACTGCTTCTCAATACAATCCTGTTAAGCTGTGAAATTCTCTGTTCAGAAAGGCTTTATTTAGCCATAGCCCTCAGCCACTGCTTATCCCTGGTTTCCTGCTTACATTCTTCACCTGCTCTTAATTAGTGCCTTGGGGTTTGGCTGTGTGTCCCTGTAGGACATGAAAAAATACTCTGCAAATAATGAGGGAATCAGTAAGCAAGTTTATAACAATAGTATTAATAGTGGATCCTGACTACTAGGGGACAATTTGTTATACAGAGCTGTATTCATGAGAAGCAACTTGAAAATTAAAATATAATTTGAGTAATACAGAAAATTGTGCTGTAGAGGTTGATTGTTTCTTAGCCAGGTGATGAACTGGACAGTTTAATCATTCCTGCATGTTCTAGCTTCTGTTATTTGGATAAGTATCCAAACCATATGCCTGTCTTAAAAAACACTTAACTTGACCTTATTACTCAACAATAAAAACAAGAAGAAAAATACTGTTTCCCTCAAATACACAACATCTTTAAAGAATCATTTTCATTTTGCCTGTAAAGACCATAACATCCCGTTTCTTGGATTAGAACAATAATTTATCAATTTAGACACTTAAAAGTACCATTCTGTCATGTAGCATATGGAATTAATATTGTTAATAAGTTTTTCAAAATTCCTTTAAAAGCCCAGGATATACCTGACTCGGGGTATAGCTTGAGTTACTCATCCTGGTGCCCCAGATCTGAGCTGACTCCAGCGTGGAAGACACAGGCAATATTGGGGTTTTGTTATTTAGTCCCAGTTCATTTCTTTCTGACTTTAAACATCTCAGCTAAGTGTTCTATTTATAAATCCCCTTTTTGGCTGAACGCAAAGCCAAAAGTCCATTCCGAGCCCTGATGATGCCTCTGGGGTATGTCACGTCCTGCCCCAGGGGAGGGCTGTGCTAAGGACCTGCCTGAGGGCTGTAAGGGGCTGCAGTGGGGAGACCCATGTCCCCACCGTGGGTTCAGCCCGTGCTGCTGCCCCTCACACACACATCTCCTCTCACTGGCAGTCTGACAGGGTGCTGCTATCGATATGTCGAGGTTTTCCCATTTTTTCAGCTGCTTGTGAAATCTGAATCTTAATTTAAACTAGGTCATCACTGGTTTTATTGTCCCACTCCCATGACATTCAGTAGGAAGATAGTCACTTTACAACCTTCTCTAGCTTCACTGCAGTGAAATACTGAATTTATAGCAATGCTTTGAAACAGCCTAATGAGGAGGGGGAGGGTTTTCTTTAAAAGGTTTAATGTTGAGTAACAACTACTCTTGGATGCACAAATGTTAGCTGAAAGAGGGTGTTATGGTTCTGCTACCTATGCAAACATCCATACAAAAGTCAAATACTGACTGGCATCGCATAAGCTGAGGCTGGAAGTTAGAAAGTTGTTTGTAATCATGAGAGGGGGGAGGTTATGAAAAACCCTCATAAGGAAAATTCCATTTCTAAATTCCTATTTGTATGGCTTAGAGAGAGTAATATGGTACGAGTCTAAACCACCAAGGGTTTAGATCTCATGATCCATGAACTTATACTTCCTAGACTCCCATAAGACTACGAGATCTTAATGGCATTAATATGTCCAAAGTTTTGGAAAGAAATTGGAAAAGTTATAAAAAAGTTATAAACTTTTCCAAATCTGAGAGTTTAAACACATAAATGAATCACAAAAATCATTAGGTTTTGATTTAGGTTGTGATTGCTATCATAAAACTCTCTATTAATGTTATTTCAGTCACTTGTTTCAGCTGTAGATTCAGGCTGACATGGCTCCATTGTGCCTGGATGAACAGAAACTGCTGTTGACGTAGATATTTTGGAAGAAAATGTGAGTACTATAAAGAGATTTTTAGTCTAAATTCATCTTCTCCCTCTGTTGTGCTCTGCTTTCATCCCCAGCCTAGAAAAGTTCTTCCAATTACCTATTCATATACTGATCCACGAATAGTACAACTGTACTTCTATATGTGTTCTCCAAATGTCTGGGCTGAATAGTTTATTTCCTCTGAGTTGTAATTATTCATATTAGCATTTGGCAATGTTTTTGAGTGGGTTTAACTTTCCTCATGCAATGTGTCATCAGGTTGAAAAAATAGCAGTTACTTTGGACAATCTGGATACTAAAGTATTTGGTTGGCTCATAGGGTGGAAAGTGGCTTCTGACCTTCACAACAAACTTGCAGTCAACCGCTTTAGTTCATTTAAAAAAAAAACAAAACCAGATTAACTTAAAATGATAAATTAAAAGAAAAACATACAGAAAAAGGAATTGAATTTGAGGAATAAAATGAAGTCAAAGCTCGGATCTTGGAGAAAACAAGATTATACACTGGGAAGATGGAAGGGTGCAGGGAAGCTTCATTTGGGGGAGCCACATATAGTACGAGGTGGGTGGAAAAAAGGTTGTGATAGGAAGTCAAGAGCTTTGCTGAAGATCCCATTTGAGTCAGTCACTACCTGGGGACCATTTTCATGGGGAGTTGTGCACGGCTTTCCAATAAACTTTCTGTGGTATGAAGCTAAACTAAAAGCTGAATTCTCAGAAGTGTGCACTGCGTACAAAACCTGAGCCATTGTGCTCCAGTTTACAGCTAAATTATACCAGCTGAAAAGTTCAGGTATTCAGGTACAAATCTACCTATCAACTGATGCTCTACATTCCTGTCCTCCTAAATAGAAATTTTACATATTTAGGTGACATGAAGACCATTTTTTTGGCTCTCTACATATGACAAAACAAAAGTTTTTCAGAGTAAAGAATAGAATTGAGAAACACTGATTCATCTGCTAAGATAGAAAAGGCAAAAGCCTCTCACACCACCAGACCAAAAAAAGTGTTTTTACACCAATAAACAAAGAAGGTAATATATTTGGGAGGTGTATAATATAAATCAAGGTTCTTGGTCTCATTATCAAACTTAAACACTGTGGTATTAACTATGTCAGCTGATGGATTACGTCTGATGTGATTCAAAAGCCAAAATTAGTAACGGAAAAATAAAATTCTCTCAACTTTCGTATGGCTTTAAGTATTTCCACTGTATCAGAGATTTTTTCTGGACTGTGTATGGCTTTATTCTTCCACTCTCCCAAACCAAAACACAATTTTGGCTTTCACTCTTTCACTAGTGTCCAGTTTGTACCTGTTTAATTGCAAATGACTCACTAACGGTACAATCCCAGCAGCCAGCAGGCTGCTAACCACCGAAGTATAGCTGAAAACCAGCTAAGCAGAATGCCAGTTTTTGATGATGACTCATTAATTTGCCCTTCAGTTTTCTACCTGCAAATAGTTAACACTTTATTTCTTTATTAATGCAGCTTGAAGTTTGCCATCTGCCATTGTAAAGCCATAAATCTCAGACATGCAGAGTCATATTCCTGCAAGGTAACCTATTGGCTATCCCAGCCTCAGCTATGTCTCTGCTATTCCTGAAATATTCATGCAATCTGTTCTTCACATCCCTGAGCAACAGGGACTAAACAACTTCCCAGGGCAGAAATCCCATCAGGGAAGATTTTTGTCATGAGCTGTGGCTGGTGAAAACCCTGTGCTTTGTGTAGAGTCCTTCCTCCAGTGGGATCCACGGATGCCTTGGTGTCATATTAGTTCTTTGCAGGAAAATAATTGCTGCTCTTAAATAAGTCTTGCAGTATGTTTCAGTTTAGCTTCTGCAATGAATAAAACCCAAAAAGCATCTGGATATATTTAACGGACACAAGCTGGAATACAGGAAGTTCTGTCTGAACATGCAGGAAATACTTCTTTACTTTGAGGATGCCAGAGCACTGGAACAGGCTGCCCAGAGAGGCAGTGGAGTCTCCTTCTGT